TAACACTCACTTTCCTGGCTGTGCAATTGTGAGCAATACCGAACCGGTCAGGAATATAGTAGGCTTCGCAGGAAAAAATATTGTTACTCACGTGAGGCTGGAATGGGCAATCAAATCATTCGCCTCATACAAATCTCCTGGACTTGATGGTATTTATCCAGCTATGATACAAAAGGCTTCGGACCTAATAAAAACATGGCTGATAAATATCTTTAGAGGATGCTTGAAGCATAATTACGTACCTGTAAACTGGCGAGTGGCAAGAGTCATTTTTATTCCGAAAGCAGGAAAAAATGGTCACCTTTACTCTAGAGATTATAGGCCAATTAGTCTTACCTCTTTTATTCTCAAAATTTTTGAAAAAATACTAGCAGCACATATAGGAGACCAATTAGCTCCTGAAGTTCTGTCAAGAGCACAACACGCCTATACTAAGGGCAGATCCACGGAGACTGCTCTCCATACACTTGTCTCTAATATTGAAAAGGCCTTAGAATACAAAGAATACGCTCTAGGAGTTTTTCTGGATATTGCGGGAGCTTTCAATAATGTATCAACGCAAGCTATTTTAAATAGCTTAGATGATGTTGATATAGACTCAGCCACATATCAATGGATTACAAGCCTTTTAAACTGCAGACAGATAAGGGCAGAATGGAACGATACAACTCTAGCTAGGGAAACATGTAGAGGAACCCCGCAGGGAGGCGTTCTCTCACCCCTTCTCTGGTTACTGGTAATCAATAAATTTCTTAAACAATTTGATGGTAAAGCTCCGAAACTAATTGCATATGCGGACGACATCGCAGTAGTTATAACGGGGAGATGCCTATCTACTCTAAGTGCGTTAATGAGCGACGCTCTCAAATCAACTTACAACTGGGCGACCGACGCTGGCTTAAGCGTAAACGCAGAAAAAACTGACACAATACTTTTCACAAGAAAGTACAAGGTCACAGCATGGACGCCACCTAACTTGAACGGAACTCTTTTGCCACTGAAAACTCAAACGAAATACCTTGGAGTAATTGTGGATAGCAAACTGGCGTGGAAGCCTAATGTAGAAGAACGGGTAAAGAAGGCAACAAATGCTTTATACGCATGTAAAAGGATGCTGGGAAGTACATGTGGTCTCTCACCCGGTCTTATGTACTGGTGCTACACGGCTATAGTTAGACCTATATTACAGCCATTAAGGCGATCAAATCTTACTGGTCATCATCCAAAAATGTTCTAGAATGCAAGGAAGCTATAGCAAGACTAGCCTGCAACCGCAGACTTTGTATGTACTGGATTCCTGGTCATAAAGGCATAGAGGGAAATGAGACAGTTGATGCTATTGCTAAAAATGGCGCAAAACTTTCAGAGGAACAAACGAGCGAAGTACTTAGACCTCTGAAACAAATACATAAACTTCTGGACGAGCACATGATAAGGAGAGCAAAGGTAAGGTGGCGGAACTTAACCACCTGTAGAACAGCTAGAATTATGTGTAGACACATATACGAAGAAAAATACACCAAGAATGTTATATCGTTTAACCGAAGGAACTGTAGAACATTAATTGGTGTGTTGACAGGTCACTGTTTGGTTGCATCACATGCCCGAAAACTAAACCTAATTCACAACGATGCTTGCAGGAAATGCAATGAGCCGGATGCAAAGGAAACTCTAGAGCATCTGATGTGTAATTGCCGAGAACTCGACAAAAATACTTGGGAGCTTTCAGTTTTGCAGGACTGGAGTACATACCTGAGGTTTCTGTTGGAATCTTAATAAATTTTGCTAATGAAACGCGCATCTTAAGTGATGCTTACAAACGCTAAAACAAGACTCTGATCTGGTATCGCAATGGAACTTAGTGGTCTACGCGTGGCCTTTATGGCCTGCCAGCATAATCTAATCTAATCTAGAGGCATCTAGATTTACCATAATTTCCAGTGGCTGATGATCCGAGTATATCATGTCACGTATTTGAAACTCTTCAGTTATTATTAACCATACTCCTTTCACAAAACAATAATCGGTTTGATACACAAACCCGACAGCACAGACAAGAACCACTCAGAGCTTTATACTTAGTATATTTTCTATAATTTTGTATCGAGCTTAACGCTGAATATAATTTTAAGTTCCACTGATCGTAAGCACTTTTGTGTATATTTGGTTTTTTACTGTTGTTAAATACAACGTTACTTTGTCCACTGAAGTCTCAATAAATAAAATTATATTATTATCAAATTTTTGCACAACATTCCAACGCGTAGTAATTACACAAACGTTTATTTTCAGTAATCAACCAATTGTCATTAGTTTCTCACGACACAACTTAAATTTTTCATTAAACTTTTCAGCGCGCGCACTTATTAGATATCATTCAATAGGGTTGCCAATCCAAACTCAAAAAACTATTATGTATGTACAAATGTGATATTGGAGACATTAAGTCTGTAGTACATAAATATGTATGTTTTTATTGCACATTTGTGCATATATTTTACCTCAAATGGAACTACTTCATAATAGTTTGAATTTTTGGTAACTTTTTGTAATTATTTTAAAAAATATTTGCAAGATTCATATAAAAGTGTCTGAAAAGTATTTTAGAGAAAATAAAAATATTAGAAATGTAAGAAAAATTATAATGAAAAAATGTGTAGACGCATGAATGCTATTTACACCGGATTAAAATGTTAAAATTGGTGATTTCGATATTCCTTCGGAACATTGCGCATGGACAACATTTAAGAATAAAGCTTCATAGAATGAAAAAAATCAGATTTGAGACATAAATAAATTTGTAATGTGTTTTTCACTACAATTCATACCAATAGCAAACAGGGAATTTTGTTTTTGTTTTATACTATTAAATTCAAAAAATTATCAAATGTACACAATTTTGATTTCGTCACTGAAATGCTGTTTGATCGCTTGAACATTTTACAGCGAACAAACGTACAAACATGCGTATAATGTAATACAGAGGATTGCATTGCATGTATGAATGAAAACGTATACAGAAGGGATTTTGTCAGCCTTATTCGACTCACATATAGGTTTGAACTTAACATCATACCAGTTGTGACTCGATCGAACATTGTTGCATGAGGTTGGGTGGATTTATTATAAATCTACCAGCAAAATAATGTGGGTATTTCGTTTGTATGAGCGTGGCGCTTCTTTGTAGTCGAGATACTTTGGTATGATTAATCTTTTCTAAATTTGATATATTGTAAGTTATATATTTAATATATTGTAAACTTGATATATTATATAATTAATAGGTTAAAATATGTTTAATTAATTATTCTAACTACCCCCTGTATAATCTGTAATCAAGGCAACGGTTCTAATTCTTGCTCTTTATTGCGTGTTGTTTTCGTGCTCAAGATGAGCAAATTTTGTTATATTTTTTGGCTGCAAGTAAACTCCGTTGGTTTGATTCTGTCTCTTGTTTTCCGAACGCGAAAGTGTCAGCACACGGGTGCACACAAAAATTAAAAATTGTATAAAATTAAATAAACTTAAATAAATATCCAAATTATAATTTATAAAAACGTTTTTAATTTTACAAGTTCTTCACTTCAATCTCACCACACAATTATTTTAATTCCTCAGCTCATTTGCACTTTAATTACTTATTTTTATCGATATGCATCCATTTTCCATCACACCCACTTTATTTTTCTTTTCAAGTATCACTTTTGTGTCTTGAACTTTAATACTTGTCATAGCCATTTTGTCACGGTAAATTGCCTCCACGTCACTTTTTTTTGCTTTATCTTTAAGTAGACCTTTCACTGGTACATTACGACTTTTACTTTGTTGGACGAGTCTTCCAACTTCCCTCCTATCCTCATCTCTATCGTTTGTTAATTGTTCGATTTCTAGTTTTAGCCTTTGGGTATCGTTTCCCAATTTTTCTATTTTCAGTGACACGTTGCCCATTTCTTCCTTAAGTTTGGATATGTCATTCTTTGATGCTAGCTATTAGCTATTTGCCATTTACCTTCTGCTCAAAAAGTATCCGGATTTTGTTGTTTGTTAACTACTTCTTAAGTAATAGACCTTTTTCAAAAGGTACAAATTTGAGGACCATCCGTCAATTAGTTTGTTTACAGCAGCTGTTAATGTGAGACTACCTCAAGTGCATTTACCGATTTTTACTATGGAAAATTCTTGTAGTACGCGATTTTTTGATCAAACACGGCACCACTGTCATCCCTCAAGCACCATATTCGCCAGATCTGGATCCGTGCGTCTTTTTCCTGTTCCCGCAACTCAAATTGCCTCTTCGTGGTAAGCGTTTTGAGTCATTTAAATCGGTAAAAGAGAATTCGCTGAAGGAACTAAAAGCCATACCTTCACGGGCCTACGAAAAGTGAAAGATTGGGAAGATTGAGTTAATCGTTGGCATATGTGTAACGCTTCAGAAGGAGCATATTTTGAAGGCGATAAAATAAATTTGGAATAAAATTTAAATTTGTGGGTTCTATTTACAAAATCCGAGTACTTTTTGAGCAGAAGGTATGACAACGCAATTTTTGCATGTTTGTGATTTTAATGTTGTAATTAGTGATATTTTTGATACAGCTGGAAAATAATGCAATCGAATAATTTAGTTGATTGTAACGTCAATATGACCGTAGTGACTATTTTACTTAACAGAAATTTATGTATTTAAAATAGAGGTATCGAAAAGTAATGAACTACAACAAAAATTGTTTTTATATTATTTTACTTTCATTCCAAGGTTTATTTTGTTCGCATTAAAACACTAAATAATAACTATTCCCAATATTTGTGCGTTTGTTTTTTCTAGAAAATATTATATGAGTTAGTAACCATTTATCAGAAATGCACTTAAGATGATTTAATTTAAAGAAACATTCCTTTTTCGAAAAAAAGGTTCAAAAAATGTCAACATGTAATAAATAAATCAATAAAATATTTCTAGATGCAGTTTTAACAATTTCTTCCACAATTAAAACTACTACGTCTAACATTTATGCCATCAGTTTATTAATCAACTTATTAAATTTTTTACTTTTGATATTTTTAGAACTTAAACATTTCCTAAAATGAATTTCTTCTTTCAAAAATATAGCCAAAACTAAACCATGATTAAATCCGATTGTTTTGAAACCGTGTATTAGATTTGGTGGATATAAAATAGAACCAATTTTCATGAAATCCGGTTCATGTAATATGATCGTTACAAAACATTTCATTAATATTGCTTTCTACAATTAAACTTCACAAAATAGTCAATATACGAATTAATAAATTTAGCCACTAATTGACAGCTGTTCCATCAAATATTAATATTATCCAAAGTTTCGTACAACACGTATATGTTGAACCGTATCCAACATATTTGTTTCCAAAAAAGCATATTTATACACCGGACTTTATGAAAGATTACAATTCAAAAAGAAAATTATAATTTTGAAGAATTAACAATATATTACCTCCAAATGTTTAATGCAATACTTGTCGATAGGAAATTTATTGCTCCCTTATTGTTATTTTACAGATAAGAGTGTAGTTTTTTGTATAAGTTTAACAATTACAATTAATTTATTAAATTAATTTAATTTTAGTACCTAAACTACTTTGCATAGTTGGATTTCGATCAAGTCCAAAACAATAAAGATACCGCCATTATTAAACATGATACCGCAACATATGGCGATTTTCTTTCCCCTATTCTAGCCAGTTTCCAAAACACTCCAAGCAACCTATAATAAACAGCATTTATTAGGTGTAAAATCACAAACTTGAACGAACTATACCCCGTCTTATTGCGATCCATAACACTTGGAAACAAGGAGCGTAAATAAGCACACGTACAAATCATTAAAAGAATCACAGACAACAGACTTTGAAAATTAAATAGGGCACTCTAGAAGATTCCAATAAAATTTAATTTAAATCAACAAAGTATTTCAAATAATTTACCATATTTTTAGTTAATTCACAGCATAAACCAAATCATGTATGAGTTGAGAATTACACATATGACGTGCCTAACATTCCCGGTTTGGATTTTAACAATATTCACAATAGCCAACCAATAATTCAAAAGTTAGCAACGTTGCTATTACTGTGTATACCAAAGAATACGTTTCAAAGAATGGAAACTTCGCCAACTTAATAAAGGAAAATATTAAAAAAAAAGAAAATCTTAAAGGATATATATTTTTATAACATTTTGGCACACGTATTGAATACATATGATCTCACCACGTTAATATCAAACTACTCTCTCTTAGGGTAAAAAAATTTCAAACAAACTTCTGGTTGAATTTTATATAAAAGTATCTTATATAAATATGCACACATACGAAATCGTGAATAAGTTTGTTTATATAATTTTTAAACTTCTAACATTACAGGGGTATACACTCTCTCTTGCAAACTTATTGCAAGGAGCACGAAATGCAAGAATGCTATACAAAAACTGTAAGACTGCGAGAACACCTCTGTTGCAAAATTGCATCATCGAAATGAATCAGCTGTTTTTGCAGGCGTATCACATTGAGTAAATAAAAATAAAAGTTTAACAATTCCGCTAACAAGTGAAATACAAAAATTTATAGATTTTTTTATTAAAAATAATGCTTTTAATATTCTGATTGAAGGTATTAATATGTTGTTAATGTTTTTACTACTGTATAGTTTCTATTTGTTAGATGATGCAAATTACTGGGAAGTGATGGAGCAATTAAATGAAAACCTTTTGTTTACTTTAGTAAACCATCACGGAAATCACCAACCCGTACCAAAATCTATTCAATAGAGATCTACCATTCTTCAAGAATTTGATGAAAGTCGTTTTTGTCAGATGCTTAGAGTAAATTGGAACGAATGTTCTTTAATACTCTCACTAATAAACACTAGCACGGAGTTCACTAATTTACATTTAATTCAACAATTCCCGCTCGATCTTCAACTTGCTATTGTTTTATATCGTTTGGGTTTATCAGGCGAAAATGCGGCTATTCGCAAAGTCGCTACATTATTTGAATTTGGAAATGGGGAAACAATTTATTAGATAACCCGAAAAGTCTTTCGCTCCATACTGGAACTGCAAACCAAATTTATAACGTGGCCAGATGTAGTTGAACGACAAGATAAAGTGGAGAAAACCTATCATGAACTTCCACATTGCATTGGATATTGACAGTACTGAAATAAAACTTGCCAAAGCACCAGTGGTAAACCATACATCCTATTTTTCAAAAAATAGAGTGTATTCAATAAAATCACAAGTCGTATGTGACCATCAGCTGAAGATGCGACATGTCGCAGTTGGTCACTTTGGAAGTACACATGATGCTCGCATGTTTCTTACAAGCGCTCCCTGCATCCAAGAAAAATTTTTTTTTTCTTCAGAACAATGGTTAGCAGACGATTCTGCTTATTCATTACTTAAAACTCTTATAACTCCGTTTCGGTCAAACTTCCAACAGCTTGACTACTCCAAACGTGAAACTTTTAACTTACGCCATAGCAGATTTCGTGTAAGGATTGAACATTGTTTTGGACTTCTGAAGGAACGCTTCAGTAGTCTTAAGGAGTTAAGAATCCGTATTCAGAATGATACGAGTCATAATTTTTGTTCAAATTGGTTCCTTGTTTGTTGCATATTGCACAACATTTTGCGACCTTCATGTGATGATACGGAACACGTGGATTATGTACATGACAACGACGAAGAATCTGATGAGCTTATGCAGAATGAAGCTAGTCAGAGAACCAATGAAGGAGCTTCGAAGTGCAAATTTTTGTATAATTTAATGTTCGGCAATAAATAATTTACGAATACAAATATATAAAACATACATATATGTATATATATTTAATATTTAATTAAGAAGTCAATTGCGACATTACTTTTTTCCAGTAGGTTTATTTTAAGGCAAGAATAATGTATAAAAACATATAAAAACGTAATATATATATTAATATATGTAATAATAATATAATACAAAAATAATTAGTATAATAAAAATATAGGAATAGGAATAGGAAATAACAGGGTACTAGCTCCCATTTGAGCAGAGCACTGCGACCATGATTGATCTTTTGTGCTACAACAGACCCTAACTGAACAAAAGACATTCCGCCTTTCGAACGAAGATCAAAATGTCGGTTGTTAAGGACTTCCTAATATCGGAAGGTGAAAGCAATTCCCGACCCAGTGATTTCCTCCTGGCCCAGATCAAAGCTGGGCAGTCACATAGAATGTGGCTGGTTGTCTCCTCTACCTCCAAGCAGAGTCTACAATCTATCTCTTCAGACAGGCCCATTTTGTTGAGATGGTAACGTAGCCCATGGTGACCCGTTAGATATCCCACTAGCAACCTCAACTCTGTTCTGCTGAAGGAGGATATCTTATTGTAACTATAAGGGAGAACCAGCTGTTTAGCCTGACGGTTACCTCGACTGTCGCACCAGTAGCGACTTCTCTCGGTTGAGATCCAATCATTGATTAGAGACCTAGTTGTAGACCAACTTAATCCACAGAAAGGTTCTGGGCCACAGATTAGAGTGGCGGATCCTGCCCATGCAAGACTATCGGCAGACTCATTTCCATGAATTCCTGTGTGACCAGGCACCCAGCACAGTGTCACTTTATTATTGCTTGCCAGCTGCTGCAGTGTGTCATAACAGTCTGCTAGAAGCTTTGAGAAAAACTTCCAGGAGCATAACGCTTTGATTGCTGCTTGACTATCTGAATAAATACAGATTCGGGCGCCTTTCAACCCTTTGTTAATGTTGATACGAGCGCAGACCTCGATGGCGTGAACCTCTGCTTGGAAGACAGTGGGCCATATACCCAGCGCGAGCGAGATTCTGGTGTTAGGACCAAATATTCCAGCACCAACTCCTTCTTTGGTTTTTGAACCATCAGTATACCACGAAATTACTTTTGGTTCAAATCCAGGAGTGCCATTTACCCAGTCCAATCGATCGGGTAAGAGGACTTCGAACTTCCTACCGAAGCGAAGTTCCATGTTCATGCGATCTGTCCTATCGCAGATCTCTATGCCAGGAACTAGTCTGCAGATAGAGTTTTGACTGACGAGACTTCCGTGCATGTCGATGACAGGGTGTAGCCTAGCTGCGCTCATAGCTGCTGTCTTTTTAATAAAGCGATGCAGAGGGGTGAGACCCACTATGGACTCCAGTGCTGATGTGGGACATGTTCTAATAGATCCCGTCATAGCGATACATACGAGTCTTTGCAGTTTATTGCATTTGACTATTGCAGCATTTTGTTGCGCCTTATTCCACCAAACAAGAGCTGCGTAGGATACAATGGGTCTGACCATTGTGCGGTATAACCATGATATAATTCTAGGACTTATGCCCCAGGTTCTACCATATGCGGTCCTACATGTCCACATGACCCGGGTGGCTTTGCCAATTATATTATTCAGGTGAGTGTTCCAGTTAAGACGCTTATCTAGGGTGACCCCTAAATATTTGACTTCATCGGAGCATTCAATAGCCGTATCCTTAATAGATAGGGACCCAATATTTACTTTGTACCTTCTAGAAAATGGTACAATTACCGCTTTTTTTGGGTTAATACTTAGGCCTTCTTTGATACACCAGTTCGAGACTTTGTGTAATGCCGCCTGCATTACGTCTGTAACTGTGGTGTCAAATTTACCTGTTACAATGATTGCCAGGTCATCTGCATAACCTATGGCATGATACCCAGATTGCTCCAGTTTAACTAGTAAGTCATCGACTACCAGCGTCCATAACAATGGTGAGAGAACCCCACCCTGGGGGCAGCCTCGTACAGCATTAATGCTTACGATAGTGCTACCTAACTTGGAGGATATGTTCCTATCACGCAACATTCTATCTATCCACGTTATTGTACATGAGTCTATATCTTTACGGGCCAGTGCTCCAGATATGGATTCGTAAGATGTGTTATCGAAAGCTCCCTCTACATCCAGAAATGCACATAAGGCGATCTCTTTAGATTGAAACGTGCTTTCAATTTTGCTGACTAAATGATACAGCGCGACCTCTGTAGATTTGCCTTTTGAGTAGGCATATTGGGTGGAGTGGAGTGGGACAGTTTGTTCCAATTTATTCCGTATGTACAGATCAATCAGCCTTTCGACGGTTTTCAATAAGAAAGACGTAAGACTAATGGGTCTGTAGGACTTGGGTTGGTCCATAGGTTTGTTCCCAAGTTTGGGAATAAAGATCACGTTCACTCCTCTCCAGGAATGAGGGATATAACCCATAGTAAAACAAGCCCTAAAGAGTTTTATTAATGGGTCTATGATGATGTCTATACAATTCTGCAATAGAGTAGGGTAGATACCATCGCCTCCAGGCGCCTTAAATGGTTGAAATGAGTTGATCGCCCATTTCACCTTGTCCCTGTCAAAGATAACACCAGATAGTGCGTATTCCTGACATGTAGGAGCAGTAACTTCCCTATATGAATGTGATGTTGGTGGTCCGGTTACGGAGCCAGGGAAGTGTGTTTGCAAGAGAAACTCGAGGGTATCTTCACGACCAGAAGTGAAGGATCCGTCCGGTTTTTTTAAAAGGCCTACTTCATTTGTTTTGACCTTATTTAAAGCCTTGTGTAGGCTAGCAGCCTCAGGCAACTTATCAATACTATCACAATGGCTACGCCAGCTGGCCCGTTTGGACTGTCTGATTGAATTGTTGTAGTCGGTGAGTGCTGTTCTATAATGTTCCCAACTACCAGAGCGTTTTGCTCTATTGAATAAGCTTCTTACTAGTTTACGCTTATTAGCTAGTTGCGAGTTCCACCAAGGAACCTTACCTCTAATTGAAGCATTACCTGCAACCGTGCTGTTGTGAAAGGAGGTCAGTAAAACCTCACCTAAATGGTTTGCAGCCAACTCTATCTCTTCACGAGTTCTTAGTGGCCTAGCTAGAGAAAAATTTTCGGAACCCACCAAGTCCCTGTACCTAAGCCAATTGGTTTTCTGTGGTCGGTACACTTTATCTTGCTGCTCGGATATACCGGGAATTTCAAACCTAATATGTTGATGGTCTGAG